GGACAGCTTCTGCAGGGGACAGGGCCACCGTGGGTGTCACTGTGTCACCATGTCACCGGTGTCACCCATTGTGCCGTGGGATGAGGTCAGGGACAGCTTCTGCAGGGGACAGGGACACCGTGGGTGTCACCGTGTCACCGTGCCACCGGTGTCACTCATTGTGCCATGGGATGAGGCCAGGAACAGCTTCTGCAGGGGACAGCGGCACCGTGGGTGTCACTGTGTCACCGTGTCACCAGTGTCACCCATTGTGCCGTGGGATGAGGTCAGGGACAGCTTCTGCAGGGGACAGGGCACTGTGGGTGTCACCGTGTCACCGTGTCACCGGTGTCACCCATTGTGACATGGGACAAGGTCAGGGACAGCTTCTGCGGGGGACAGGGCCATGGCGGGTGTCACCGTGTCACCGTGTCACCGGTGTCACCCATTGTGACATGGGACAAGGTCAGGGACAGCTTCTGCGGGGGACAGCGGCACCGTGGGTGTCACCGTGTCACCAGTGTCACCGGTGTCACCAGTGTGACCCATGGTGCCATTGGATGAGGTCAGGGACAGCTTCTGCAGGGGACAGGGCCATGGCGGGTGTCACCGTGTCACCGTGTCACCAGTGTCACCCATCAGGCCAGGGACAGCTTCCCGTTCCCGCCGTTCCTTACGCGATGGCCTCCACCATGGCCAGCCCCATCCGGATGGAGCACACGGCGTGGTCCTCCCGGAATTCCGGCAGCCCGCAGATGCAGTAGTAGCAATCCCCCAGGATCTTGATCCGCAGCTGGTGGTGCTTCTGGCAATCCAGAATTCCGGGACAATTCCCGGATAACTCCGGAATCCCCACAATCCCCCACAACTCCCAACGCAAACCCCCGGATTTCCCATTCCCTCCATCCCCCGGCGCGTTCCCAACCTCCTCGCCGCCATCCCGGATTTATTTTTTTTTCCCGGGGTTTTTGGGAATTCCGGGATTTTTGGGAATGGCGGGCAGCACTCACGGCGGCCAGCTTGTCGAAGCGGGCGAAGAGCTCGTTGAGGAGCTTGACGAGCTCCTGGGCGCTGCAGGACGACGAGAGCTGCGTGAAGCCCACGATGTCGGCGAAGAGGATGCTGCGGGAAAAAATCCCGGATGTGGCCCTGCAAACTCGGTCCCGACCTCCTCATTCCCAGTATTCCCAAAAAAAATATCCGGGATAAGGCAAAACCGACGCTCGACAACCTCAATCCTGACATTCTCATTCCTGTTTTTCTCCCCAAAAAAATCCTGGATGTGGCGATACAAACTCAATCCTGACTTTCTCATTCCCGTTTTCCCCACAAAAAAATCCTGGATGTGGCCATGCAAACTCGGTCCCGACCTCCTCATTCCCAGTTCTCCCAAAAAAAACATCCGGGATAAGGCAAAAACGACGCTCGACAAACTCAATCCTGACTTTCCCATTTTCATTTTCCAAAAAAAAAAATCTATGTGGGATGTTAAGTCAATCCCAAGTCCCTCATTCCCGTTTTCCCAATAAAAATCCCGGATGTGGCGATACAAACTCAATCCTGACTTCGTCATTCCCGTTTTCCCAAAAAAATCCCGGATGTGGCCCTGCAAACTTGGTCCCGACCTCCTCATTCCCAGTTCTCCCAAAAAAAACATCCGGGATAAGGCAAAAACGACGCTCGACAAACTCAATCCTGACTTTCCCATTTTCATTTTCCAAAAAAAAAAATCTATGTGGGATGTTAAGTCAATCCCAAGTCCCTCATTCCCATTTTCCCAAAAAAAACCCGGATGTGGCGATACAAACTCAATCCCGACTTCCTCATTCCCGTTTTCCCAAAAAAATATCCAGGATAAGGCAAAAGCGACGCCCGACAAACTCAATCCCGACTTCCTCATTCCCGTTTTCCCAAAAAAATCCCGGATGTGGCGATACAAACTCAGTCCCATCTCCCTCATTCCGGTTTTCCCAAAAAATTCCTGGATCTGGCCAAAACTACACTCTACAAATTCAATCCCAACTCCCTCATTTAGAGTTTTCCCAAAAAAAATTCTGGATGTGGCAATACGAGCTCAGTCCTGTTTTCCCAAAAAAAAAAATCCGGGATACGGCAAAAAAGACGCTCGACAAAGTTAATCCTGACTTCCTCATTCCCATTTTCCCAAAAAAAAATATCCTGGATATGGCAAAAACGACGCCCTGAAAACTCAATCCCAACTCAATCCCAATTTTGGGAATTCCCGCCGGTTTTCCGGGAATGTTTTCCGCGTGGAACGGAGGAATTTTGGGAATTCACGGTATTTTTCTGGGAAGGTTTTCTGGGCACCGCGGGGGAATTTTGGGAATTCCCACCAGTTTTCTGGGAATATTTTCAGCATGGAACAGGGGGGATTTTGGGAATTCCCGCTGTTTTTCTGGGAACGTTTTCAGCACAGAACAGGGGAATTTTGGGAATTCCCGCTGTTTTTCCGGGAACGTTTTCAGCACGGAACAGGGGAATTTTGGGAATTCCCACTGTTTTTCCAGGAATGTTTTCCACGCTGGAATTTTGGCAATTCTCAGCATTTTTCCAGGAATGTTTTCTGCACTGAACAGGGAAATTTTGGAGAAAAGAAAAACGTCGGGTGTCGTACAGAGGGAAGGGGCTGATTCGCCCCTGGGAGTGTCCAAGGAAATGTTGGAGCAGTTTGGGATCGGGATTGGAATGCGGGATGGGATTGAAGGTCCATGGGTCCCATCCAAAGAATTCCGGGATTCCATGATCCGGGATGCTCAGGATCCATCCCAAGGGGATTTTTATGGAATTTTTTGGGATGGAAAAGGGAAGGGAGACCCTTCCTGGAGTTCTGAATTGCCAGGGAATTCCCAAAATTCCTTTCCAGAGAGGAGCTGGGATGGGGATGGATCCAATGGCAGGCTGGGAGAGCTGGGAATGGAGGGAATTCCCTGGGAACAGGGGAGGGATTTGGGGTGGGATTTGGGAAGGAACTCCCATCTGGGCTGGAATTCCCAGAGAATCCCTGGATCGCTGGGAGTGTCCAAGGAAAGGCTGGACCAAGAAAGGGAAGGGATCTGCAGCGAGGTCCCCAAAGATCCCCGAGAGATTCCACAAGGAGCAAAATGGGATCAAACCCAAATTCCCGGCAGGAGCCACCCATGGAAAAGCCCTGAATCCCACATCCCAAATCCCAAATCCAATCCCAAATCCCACATCCCACATCCTACATCCCAGATCCCAAATTCAACACCCAACACCCCACATCCCAAATCCTACATCCCAGATCCCACATCCCGCACCCCACATCTCAAATCATAAATCCAGGAATGGACCCTGGATGGATCCAGGGTGGATCAGGGATGGATCAGGGATCGATATCCCTGGATCAGGGCTGGATCAGGGATCGATTTCCCTGGATCAGGGCTGGATCAGGGATCGATTTCCCTGGATCAGGGACCCCATTCTCACTCCATTCCCAATCCCATTCCCATCTCGTTCCATCCCATTCCCATTCCAATGGCATTCCCATTGCCATTTCCATTCCCAATCCCATTCCCAATCCCATTCCCAATCCCAATCCCATTCTCACTCCATTCCCAATCCCATTCCCATCTCGTTCCATCCCATTCCCATTCCAATGGCATTCCCATTGCCATTTCCATTCCCAATCCCATTCCCAATCCCATTCCCAATCCCAATCCCATTCTCACTCCATTCCCAATCCCATTCCCATCTCGTTCCATCCCATTCCCATTCCAATGGCATTCCCATTGCCATTTCCATTCCCAATCCCATTCCCAATCCCATTCCCAATCCCAATCCCATTCTCACTCCATTCCCAATCCCATTCCCATCTCGTTCCATCCCATTCCCATTCCAATGGCATTCCCATTGCCATTTCCATTCCCAATCCCATTCCCAATCCCATTCCCAATCCCAATCCCATTCTCACTCCATTCCCAATCCCATTCCCATCTCGTTCCATCCCATTCCCATTCCAATGGCATTCCCATTGCCATTTCCATTCCCAATCCCATTCCCAATCCCATTCCCAATCCCAATCCCATTCTCACTCCATTCCCAATCCCATTCCCATCTCGTTCCATCCCATTCCCATTCCAATGGCATTCCCATTGCCATTTCCATTCCCAATCCCATTCCCAATCCCATTCCCAATCCCAATCCCATTCTCACTCCATTCCCAATCCCATTCCCATCTCGTTCCATCCCATTCCCATTCCAATGGCATTCCCATTGCCATTTCCATTCCCAATCCCATTCCCAATCCCATTCCCAATCCCAATCCCATTCTCACTCCATTCCCAATCCCATTCCCATCTCGTTCCATCCCATTCCCATTCCAATGGCATTCCCATTGCCATTTCCATCCCCAATCCCATTCCCAATCCCATTCCCAATCCCAATCCCATTCTCACTCCATTCCCAATCCCATTCCCATCTCGTTCCATCCCATTCCCATTCCAATGGCATTCCCATTGCCATTTCCATCCCCAATCCCATTCCCAATCCCATTCCCAATCCCAATCCCATTCTCACTCCATTCCCAATCCCATTCCCATCTCGTTCCATCCCATTCCCATTCCAATGGCATTCCCATTGCCATTTCCATCCCCAATCCCATTCCCAATCCCATTCTCACTCCATTCCCAATCCCATTCCCATCTCGTTCCATCCCATTCCCATTCCAATGGCATTCCCATTGCCATTTCCATCCCCAATCCCATTCCCAATCCCATTCTCACTCCATTCCCAATCCCATTCCCATCTTGTTCCATCCCATTCCCATTCCAATCGCATTCCCATTCCCATTCCCATTTCCATCCCCAACCCCTTTCCCAATCCCAATTTCATTCCCAATCCCAATCCCATTCCCAATCCCATTCCCATTCCCAATCCCAATCCCATCCCCAATGCCATTCCCATTCCCATTCCCAATCCCAATCCCATTCCCATTCCCATTCCCGACCTCGATCCCAATCCCGATCCCGTTCCCCGCTCCCGGCGGCGTTCCGGCATTCCCGGTGTCCCCACCTGCTGCTGGCTCTGCTCCTCCAGGTTGAGTTTGACCTCCAGGGATTGCCGCGCCTCCAGGAACGCCTTCCGGTGCTTCCGGTCGGCCATCACGTACGACATGGCGCCCACCGCCACCGCGCAGGCGTACAGCGCCACGTTGGACAGCAGCTGGCATTTGGGATAAATCACGGGACACTCGGGGATTCGGGAATTTGGGATACTCGGGATGGAACGGCGGGAATTTGGGATCAGGGATTTTTGGGATGGAACATCGGGGGTTTGGGATCAGGGATTTTTGGGGTGGAACAGCGGGGATTTGGGATCAGGGATTTTTGGGGTGGAACGGCAGGGATTTGGGATCAGGGATTTTTGCGATGGAACATTGGGGATTTGGGATCAGGGATTTTCGGGATGGAATGGCAGGAATTTGGGATCAGGGATTTTTGGGGTGGAACGGCAGGGATTTGGGATCGGGGATTTTTGGGATGGAACATCGGGGGTTTGGGATCAGGGATTTTCGGGGTGGAACGGCAGGGATTTGGGATCAGGGATTTTTGGGATGGAACAGCGGGGATTTGGGATCAGGGATTTTAGGGGTGGAACAGCGGGGATTTGGGATCGGGGATTTTTGGGATGGAACAGCGGGGATTTGGGATCGCAGGGTCTTTGGGATGGAATGGTGGGGATTTGGGATCAGGGATTTTTGGGGTGGAACGGTGGGGATTTGGGATCGCAGGGTCTTTGGGATGGAATGGTGGGAATTTGGGATCACGGGATATTTGGGATGGAACGGTGGGAATTGAGGATCAGGGATCTTTGGGATGGAATGGTGGGAATTTGGGACCGCAGGTGCTTCGGGATGAAACAGTGGAAATTTGGGATGATGGGATCTTTGGGATGAAAGAGGAGGAATTTGGGATTGTGGGATATTCGGGAAGAAACAGCAGGGATTTGGGATCGTGGGATCTTTGGGAAGAATCAACTGGAATTTGTTATCACAGCAGCTTTGGGGAGAAATGGCGGGAATTTTGGGTCACAGGATATTCGGGAATTCGGGGTCATGGGATAGTCAGGAATTTGAGATCACGGGATATCCAGGATGGAACGGTGGGGGTTTGGGATCAGGGATCTTCGGGATGGAACAGTGGGAATTTGGGATCACAGGACATTCGGGATCAAAGGGGAGGAATTTGGGATTATGGGATATTCAGGGAACTCCAGTGGGAATTTGGGATCAGGGGATATTCGGAATAGAACAGCAGGAATTTGGGATCATGGGATACTCAGGATTGAACAGTGAGAATTTGGGATCACAGAATATTCGGGATCAAAGAGGAGGAATTTGGGATCATGGAATATTCTGGATGAAAGAGCAGGAATTTGGGATCATGGGATATTTGGGATGAACCACTGGGAATTTGGGATAATAGGACCTGAAAAATGAAATTTGGCATTTGGGATCACCGGATCTTTGGGAAGGAAGAGGAGGAATTTGGGATAATGGGATCATTGGGATGAAAGAGCTGGCATTTGGGATCACAGGACTTTTGGGAAGAAACAGCAGGAATTTAGGATCACAGGATCTTTGGGAAGAACCGAGGGGAATTTGGGATCGTGGGATATTCAGGAGGAAACAGCAGGAATTTGGAATTGTGGGATATTTTGGGATCACAGGGTATTTGGGAACAAACAGCGATCATTGGGATGAAAGAGCGGGAATTTGGGATCGTGGGGTCTTCAGGAGGAAACAGCAGGAATTTGGAATTGTGGGATATTCGGAATGAAAGAGCAGAAATTTGGGATCACAGGGTATTTGGGAACAAACAGCGGGAATTTAGGACCACAGGATCTTTGGGAAGAACCGAGGGGAATTTGGGATCATGGGATATTCAGGATGAAAGAGAGGGATTTTGGGATCACAGGATCATTCCGGATAAAAGAGCGGGAATTTGGGATCACAGGATATTCAGAACGAAAGAGTGGGAATTTGGGGTCAGAGGATCTTTGGGAAGAAAAAGTGGGAATTTGGGATCACGGGATCCTCAAGAGGAAATAGTGGGAATTTGGGATCATGGAATGCTTTGGAAGAAAGAGCTGGAATTTGAAATTGTGGGATATTTGGAATGAAAGAGGAGAAATTTGGGATCACGGGATCATTGGGATGAAAGAGCTGGCATTTGGGATCACAGGGTATTTGGGAACAAACAGCGGGAATTTGGGATCACAGGATCTTCGGGAAGAACCAGCAAGAATTTGGGATCCCTGGACCTTTGGGAAGAAGCCGTGGGAATTTGGGATCACAGGATCTTTGGGAAGAACCAGCAAGAATTTGGGATCCCTGGACCTTTGGGAATAACCAGTGGGAATTTGGGATCACGGAATATCCGGGATGAACGAGGAGGAATTCCAGGATGAGCGGATCCAGCGTGGTCCCAATCCTGGTTCCAACCCTGACAAAAAACCTCAGATCCCACTTTGGGATAAACATCAGGAATTCGGGGGGGAAAGCGGCTCCGGGAGCATCCCGGGGGATTCCCGGGGTTCGAAATCCCGGAGATGTTTTGGAAAAAGGCGGCAGCTGGGCCGGGATCCCGGGGGATCCCAGGGGATCCCGGGGGAAGGCAGCGGCTCCGAGCGGATCACGTGGTGCCGCTCCCTGGGAATTGCAGCCCTCGGAGCGAGAAAGTTCCGGAAAAACACGGCCGGGCTCCGAATCCGCATTCCCGGGAACGGCCAAAAATTTGGGAGCGATCCTGATCCGTCCCACTGGGAACATCCAGGGCAGGGGCTGGATCCTGGGGGATCCCACGGGATTGGTCCAGGTCCATGGGGTGGATCCCGTCTCGGACTGGATCCAGATCCCATGGATTGGATCCTGATCCCACGGATTGAATCCTGATCCCACGGATTGAATCCTGACCCCATGGATTGGATCCCTACCCCATGGATTGGATCCTGATCCCACAGATTGGATCCTGATCCCACGGGCTGGATCCTGATCTCATGGGCTGTATCCTGACTCCATGGCCTGGATCCTGATTCCATGGATTGGATCCTGACCCCATGGATTGGATCCTGACCCCATGGATTGGATCCTGATCCCACAGATTGGATCCTGATCCCACGGGCTGGATCCTGATCCCATGGATTGGATCCTGATGCCACAGGATTGATCCAGATCCATGGGATGGATCCTGACCCCATGGCCTGGATTCTGATTCCATGGATTGGATTCTGATTCCACGGATTGGATCCTGATCCCACAGGATTGATCCACATACATGGGATGGATCCTGATCCCATGGGCTGGATCCTGTTCCCATGGATTGGATCCTGACCCCATGGATTGGATCCTGACCCCATGGATTGGATCCCATTCCCATGGGATGGATCCTGACCCCATGGATTGGATCCCATTCCCATGGGATGGATCCTGACCCCATGGATTGGATCCCATTCCTATGGGATGGATCCTGACCCCATGGATTGGATCCCATTCCCATGGAATGGATCCTGTCCCCATGGATTGGATCCCATTCCCATGGATTGGATCCTGTTCCCATTGGCTGGATCCCGTTCCCATGGATAGCCACAGAATGCTGGGAACACCGGGAATGCTGGAAATCCCAGGAATGCGGAAAATCCTGGGAATCCTGAAAATCCCGGGAATCCTCTCGCCCATCCCATTCCAACTGCTTTTCCATGAGTGTCCTGCTGCCCTTCCGTGAGTCTCATCCCAAAAAAACTCTCCTGATGTGATCCGAGATCCAAAACACTTCCCAGATCCCAGATTTAGTGGGAAAAGCTCCAGCAAGGAGGAGATTCCGGATCCCAAAATCTGTGGGAAAAGCTCCGGCATGGAGATCGTGGCTCCCAAAATCTGTGGGGAAAACTCCAATCCTGGATCCCAAATCCTGTGGGATAAGCTCCCATCCCAAATCCCAAATTCTGTGTGAAAAGCTCAGATCCCAGATTCCAAATTCTGATGGAAAAGCTCTGATCCCAAATCCCAAATTCTGCGGGAAAATTTCCGATCCCAGGTCCCAGAATCTCTGGGAAAAGCTCCAACTCTGGACCCCAAATTCTGTGGGAAAATCTCAGATCCCAAATCCCAAACTCTGCAGGAAAAGTTCCAATCCCAGGTCCTAAATCCTGTGGGAAAAACTCCAATATGGAGGAGATCCCAAATCCCAAAATCTGCGGGAAAAGCACCGATCCTGAATCCCAAATATTCTGTGGGAAAAATTCTGATCCAGATCCCAAATTCTGGGGGGAAAGCTCCAGCATGGAGGAGATCTCGGATCCCAAATCCTGCAGGAAAACCTTGGATCCCAAATCCCAAATCCTGGAAAAACTCCAATCCCATTTCCACCCCATTCCCACTCCATTCCCGTACCCGCCTGGCCAGAACCCATCAATCCATGGAATTCCCACCATTCCTCATCCATTCCCACCATTCCCTGCCCCATTCCCTTTTCATTCCTTGTCCATTCCCATCCCATTCCTGCTCCATTCCTGCACCTGCCTGACCACCTCCCCTCCATCCATGGAATGCCCACCCCATTCCCAGCCCATTCCCATCCCTTTCCCAGCCCATTCCCACTCCATTCCCTGCCCATTCCTGCTCCATCCCCACACCTGCCTGGCCAGCACCCCTCCATCCATGGAATTCCCACCATTCCCAGCCCATTCTCTTTCCATTCCCATCATTCCCACCCCATTCCCTGTCCATTCCCAATCCTTTTTCCACCATTCCCTGCCCATTCCCAGCCCATTCCCTGCCCATTCCTGCCCCTGCCTGGCCAGAACCCCTCGATCCATGGAATTCCCACCATTCCCAGCCCATTCCCGCCCGGTTCCCGCACCTGCCTGGCCTTCCTGCTCCATCCCCGCACCTGCCTGGCCAGAACCCCTCCATCCATGGAATTCCCAGCCCGTTCCCGCCCGGTTCCCGCACCTGCCTGGCCAGAACCACTCGATCCATGGAATTCCTGCCCCGTTCCCGCACCTGCCTGGCCACCTCCCCTCCCATCCACGGAATTCCCAGCCCATTCCCGCCCGGTTCCCGCACCTGCCTGGCCACCTGCCCTGCATCCACGTTGTTCTCCCGGCCCCTCTGGAACTCCACCATTCCCAGCCCATTCCCACCATTCCCAGCCCGGTTCCCGCACCTGCCTGGCCACCTGCCCTGCATCCACGTTGTTCTCCCGGCCCCTCTGGAACTCCACCATTCCCAGCACCATTCCCAGCCCATTCCCAGCATTCCAACCTCATTCCCAGCCCATTCCCTGCCCATTCCTGCCCCTGCCTGGCCAGAACCCCTCCATCCATGCAATTCCCAGCCCATTCCCGCCCCGTTCCCGCACCTGCCTGGCCAGAACTACTCCATCCATGCAATTCCCATCCCATTCCCGTTCCGTTCCCGCCCGGTTCCCGCACCTGCCTGGCCACCTGCCCCGGATCCAGGTGGTTCTCCCGGCCCCTCTGGAACTCCACCATTCCCAGCCCATTCCCACCATTCCCAGCCCGGTTCCCGCACCTGCCTGGCCACCTGCCCTGCATCCACGTTGTTCTCCCGGCCCCTCTGGAACTCCACCATTCCCAGCACCATTCCCAGCCCATTCCCAGCATTCCAACCTCATTCCCAGCCCATTCCCTGCCCATTCCCACACCTGCCTGGCCAGAACCCCTCCATCCATGGAATTCCCGCCCCGTTCCCGCACCTGCCTGGCCAGAACCCCTCCATCCATGGAATTCCCGTCCCATTCCCAGCCCGTTCCCGCCCGGTTCCCGCACCTGCCTGGCCACCTGCCCCGCATCCAGGCGGTTCTCCCGGCCCCTCTGGAGCTCCACGATTCCCAGGACCAGCGCGTGCCCGCCGCAGGAGGCGGCCGCCAGCAGCAGGATCCGCGCCAGGCGCAGCGGCAGCGTCAGGAAGCAGGAGAAGGCGAAGAACGCCTGCCAGCCCGCCGCGTCCACCGCCTCTGGAAAACTCCTCTGGAATTCCAAGCCCAGCAAGCCCCAGAGCTGCGCCACCGTCAGCGCCCACAGCCCGCAGGGCAGGAATTTCTGGGAAAAATCCTCCGGGAGCAGCCGGGATTTCAGCAGCAGGAAAACGCAGCCGTGGGCCACCAAGCCGGCCAGGGCGGCCAGCGCCGGGAAAAGTTTTTCCATGCGGGAAAACGCCGCGCACATTCCCAGGATGTAGCAGTCGAAGAGGGCGGAGAAGACCACCAGGACCAGCAGCGTCTCGTGGCGCTGGCGGCGGAAATAAGTCTGGTAGAGCTTTTCCAGGGATTCCGGCGAGAAGGAAAAGCGCCGGGAATGCGGCAGGCACGGGCAGGGCCCCCCCCAGCCCTGCGGGGCCGGAGATTCCCGGGAGCGGCGGAGATTCCCGTCGGGATCCGACGGGAAACTCAAGGAATAATCGGCGGAGTATTCGGCCGAGAATTCCGGCTCGGAGAAGGCGCGGTTCCTCGGCATCCTGCAGCGGCGGCTGGCTCCGGAATTCCCGGTTTTCCAGAGGGAGTCGCGGGATGCTCAGCGCATCCTGCGGGGCCTGCCCGCTTCCGCGGCCGCCTCAATCCCGGGAAAATTCCTGCGGCGGGAATCGGGCAGGCCGGGATTCCCGGATGATTCCCCAGATTCCTTCCCCGACAATCCCAGAATCCCGGAATGGTTTGGGATGGGATCCATGGATCTTCAATCCCACCCCATTCCCACCCCTGACTCCTCTCTGGGCAGGAATTTCGGGAATTCCCTGGGAATCTGGGACTCCATTTCTCTTTTCCATTCCCAAATTCCATAAAAATCCCTGGGGATGGATCCTGGATCCCAAAATCCCGGAATTCTTCATGTGGGATCCATGGACCTTCAATCCCGTCCCATTCCCACCTTCCTCTCCGGGAAGGAATTTCAGGAATTCCCTGGGAATTCGGGACTCCACTTCCCTTTCCAATCCCCAAATCCCATCAAAATCCTTCAGAATGGATCCTGGATCCCAGAATCCCGGAATTCTCCAGATGGGATCTCTGGATTTTCAATCCCACCCCATTCCCAATCCCTGATTCCTCTCTGGGAAGGAATTTTGGGAATTCCCTGGGAATTTGGGACTCCCCTTTTCCATCCCAGAATTCCATAAAAATCCTTCAGGATGGATCCCGGCTCCCAGAATCCCGGAATGGTTTGGGATGGGATCCATGGACCTTCAATCCCACCCCATTCCCATCCCTGACTCCTCTCCGGGAAGGAATTTCGGGAATTCTCTGGGAATTCGGGGCTCCACTCTCTTTTCCATCCCTGAATTCCATAAAAATCCCTGGGGATGGATCCCTGATCCCAGAATCCCGGAATGGTTTGGGATGGGATCCCAGGATTTTAAATTCCAACCCCAATCCCAGGTTGCTCCACCTTTACTTTGGATATTCCCAGGGATTTTCTGGGAATTCCTTCCCAAATTCCTCCCTTTTTCCAAGGAATTCTCTCCATTCCAGCCTGGGGTTGGAGCCATCCCCATCCCGATTCCTCCTTGGGAAGGAATTTCGGGAATTCCCTGGGAATTCGGGGCTCCACTCTCTTTTCCATTCCCGAATTCCATAAGAATCCCTCGGGATGGATCCTGGATCCCAAAATCCCGGAATTCCTCAGGTGGGATCCATGGATTTTAAATCCCAATCCCGATCCCGGGGTGCTCCAGCTTTTCCTTGGATATTCCCAGGGATTCTCTGGGAATTCTTTCCCAAATCCCTCCCCATTTTCCCAGGGAATTCCCTCCATTCCCAGCTCTCCAGGATTGGATCCATCCTCTCCGGGAAGGAATTTCAGGAATTTTCTGGGAATTTGGGACTCCCCTTTTCCATCCCCGAATTCCATAAAAATCCCTGGGGATGGATCCTGAGTGTCCTTGATCCCAGAATCCCGGAATTCTTTGGGATGGGATCCATGGAGCTTCAATCCCATCCCATTCCCACCTTCCTCTCTGGGAAGGAATTTCGGGAATTCCCTGGCAATCTGGGACTCCACTTCCCTTTCCCATTCCCGAATTCCATAAGAATCCCTGGGGATGGATCCCTGATCCCAGAATCCCGGAATTCTCGGGATGGGATCCATGGATTTTCCATCCCACCCCGTTCCCACCCCCGGCTCCTCTCCGGGCAGGAATTCCGGGAATTCTGGGCTGAAAATCCCGATTTTGGGATTTTGGCGAATATTCAAATTAACGTCGGGTGTGTCTGTCAGAGAGCCACGCTGCCTTAATTGCGTTAATTAGCTGCCTTAATTGTCCTAATTAGCTGCCTTAATTGCCCTAATTAGCTGCCGTAATTGTCCTAATTAGCTGCCTTAATTGTCCTAATTAGCTGCCTTAATTGCCCTAATTAGCTGCCGTAATTGTCCTAATTAGCTGCCTTAGAAAAATGGGAAAAATTCACAGAAAAATGGGAAAAATTCACAGAAAAATGGGAAAAATTCATAGAAAAATGGGAATAACGCCTCGGAAAATGGGAATAACCCTTGGAAAAATGGGAGTAATTCTCAGAAAAATGGGAATAACCTTCAGAAAAATGGGAATAACCTGCGGAAAAATGGGAATAATTCATAGAAAAATGGGAAAAATTCACAGAAAAATGGGAAAAATTCACAGAAAAATGGGAAAAATTCATAGAAAAATGGGAATAACGCCTCGGAAAATGGGAATAACCCTTGGAAAAATGGGAGTAATTCTCAGAAAAATGGGAATAACCTTCAGAAAAATGGGAATAACCTGCGGAAAAATGGGAATAATTCATAGAAAAAGGGGAATAACCCCAAAAAAAGTGGGAATAATTCATTAAAAAATGGGAATAATTCATAGAAAAATGGGAAAAACCACTCGGAAAAATTGGAATAACCCAAAAAAGGTGGGAATAACTCTTGGAAAAATGAGAATAATTCATAGAAAAAGGGGAATAACCCCAAAAAAAGTGGGAATAATCCTTGGAAAAGTGGGAATAATTCTCAGAAAAGTGGGAATAATTCTCAGAAAAGTGGGAATAATCCCTGGAAAAATGGGAATAATTCTCAGAAAAGTGGGAATAATTCTCAGAAAAGTGGGAATAATTCATAGAAAAATGGGAAAAACCCCTGGAAAAATGAGAGAAATTCTCAGAAAATGGTAATAACCTCTGGAAAAATGGGAATAATCCTTGGAAAAATGGGAATAACCTCAAAAAAGGTGGGAATAACCCTTGGAAAAAATGAGAGAAATTCTCAGAAAAATGGGAATAACCCCTAGAAAAATGGGAATAATTCTCGAAAAAATGGGAATAATTCTCAGAAAAGTGGGAATAATTCATAGAAAAATGGGAATAACCCTTGGAAAAATGGGAATAAGCCCAAAAAAGGTGGGAATAACTGTTGGAAAAATGGGAATAATTGTCAGAAAAGTGGGAATAATTCATGGAAAACTGGGGATGAAACGAGACAGGAATTTTGGAACGCAGGAGGTTTTTATTAATTTATGGATTTATCGCTGCCTTAGCGACGGCAAATCGCACCCAAAACCCCAAATCTCACCCCAAACCCCAAAATCTCACCCCAAATCCCCAAATCTCACCCCAAAACCCCACATCCCCCAAATCTGACCCCAAATCCCCTCAAAATCCACGAATCTCCCCAAAAATTCCCAAATTTCCCAAACCCTCCAAGTCTCACCCCAAATGTCCCAAAATCCCCCAAATCTCCCCAAACCCCCCAAATCTGACCCCAAATCTGACCCCAAATCTGACCCCAAATCCCCCCCAAAATTCCTCAAATCCCCCCCAAAATTCCCGAATTCCAAAACCCCCAAACCCCCCAAATCTCACCCCAAATCCCCTCAAAATCCCCCAAATCCAGCAAATCCCACCCCAAATCCCCCAAATCCCCAAATTTCCAAAATCC